ACGTGAGAGAAATCTCAGTATTCCGACTTTGTTTAGATTTCCAAGACGAGTACTTAATTACATGGCCGCGAACGGCACACTTGAAGGCTTCCCATACTATGTGGGGATTTGCTGTATTCTGATTAAAAAGGAAAAACTCAGTGATGAAGTTTGAGGTTTCTCTAACAAAAAACTGGGTCATTGAACATCTCTTGGTTAAGTCTCCAAAAACCAGGACCACGGGGTGTATCAGACGTAGTCAAGGAAAGGCCAATTAAGAAATGATCTGACCTCAAACTATCCTCGATGCAAATTTTTTCTATAAAAGGAGTTAACGAAAAAGACGTACAAAAAATAATCTATGCGACTAGCCTGAAGTCTGCGTCGCCATGTGTAACGTATGGTTGTGGGATGTTTATACCTATAAGTATCAATCAGATCTAAATTAGCAACAAAAGGAATTAATGGCCATAAGACATTTTGGATGGTAATTGGAGACTTGGTGCCCAGCCCTGTCCATTTTGACATCTAATACTGTGTTAAAATCCCCTACAATGATACTATATAATCCAGATGTTGTAAAAGCTTGTACATTGTTTTCGATATCTACAAAGAAGGATGGGTCGTCAGTGTTAGGGGCATAAATATTGGCTAGGCAAAATCGAAAGGAGTCTACAGTAATATCTAATATAATCCATCGCCCTAAGTCATCGCTCAGTGTCTGATGGACAGTATAAACAACATTTTCCTTGAGTAAAACCTCTGCTATTACTTGAACCGTGATTAAATAAAATTGGACCCCCCCACTCTGACCTCCATCTTTCTTCACTCACAGAAGTGGAGTGAGTTTCCTGTAAGCAATAGATATTGTAGGGTTTGTCTCTTAACCATGTGAATACTTGATTACGCTTTCTGTGGTCGCCTAGTCCATTACAATTGAAACTGCAAATGTTAAGTTTTGGCAACACCATAGGGACCGAGCAGAAAACGAGAAGTAAGAAAATACTCTAGGCGACCACAGAAGGCGAAACACAAGTAGGGTATTTGGTGCAAGTAATTGGGGTTGCTTATACAAAAAGACGTAAATAATACATCTATATGCGATCTGAAACATACAGTATACTGCATTGTGCCATGCAAAAGAAAAGAAAATAATATACAACGCAACATAAACAAAAGTAACTTGTGGCAACTAAATATTAACAAGCCACCAAGGTAAGTTGATATAGATTTGTGGTCATACATTCATCCGCTCCATTCATTATCATCAGTTAAATCCACACCAAAACAAAATGTTATAACAAAAGTAAATTATAAGGATAAGATCCTTTTGAATAGCGTCCAAGGCCAAAGTTGAAGGCCGCTCTATTTACTTGCGCGTCGTGCGCCAAGAGGAGGTCATATAGGACATTCTTATACCACTACAGCGGTGGTGTCTCATCTCATGGTATTGACATACTTACTTTTAGAAGCAGTGTATTGATATTAGCTCTGACTCGATCATATATATCTATAGCCTTGGGAATGACAAGGTCGAAATCAACGACCAAATGACCCTTGCGTTTTCTATGTACGTGCTCGCGCTGTGTGGCACGTACACTAGTCTAGGGCCTGCATGGGGAGGGGGCTGGGGGTATGGTAGTGACTACGAATTACGCAAAACTTCGCCGTCGATTGCCAATTACGTTTAAAGTCTCAGAGCTGACTACGACTTTACGCTTTGCGGCTAATGTACTGATTACGAATTACGTTGATTTTTTGGGAGGCTGCCTACGGATTACGTAGACTAAAAAGGCCTGATTACGCCTTTACGAAAGGGCATGCAGGCCCCCATACACAAATCTTTATTGACACAACACAAGTACAGCAACTTTCATAGATGACATTTACGACATAGTCGTGCAGGGTTTAACAAAATTGACAGTGGCATGCTTCTACCAAGGATGTTTAAACCTCATTGCTTCTACTTCTTGCGAGAAATAGCCTGTATCTTGTACGGCCCGGGCAGGAGAGTGGCTCCCATCATCCCAGACAGATCTGGCTCAGGCACGCTCTCTGGCAGTTTAAAGGTGAACTGCTGCAGCAGGGACGTGAGGAACAGGAAAAGTTCCATCTTGGCCAGCTGCTCGCCGAGGCAAATTCTTCTCCCTGCGTAGAGAGAGAGAGAGCGGTAACATCTGATAAAAATCACGCTAATAAAGAAAGAAGAAAAAAGTCTACAGGAGAGTGTAGACGATGTCGGATGTGCGTCTAGAAATAACTGGAGTAGTGTGACGTCACACTTCAAAGAAGCCACGTGACTGGATCAGTCTTCTGATGAAGACCAGAGTGACAGATCGAAAGCTCTAGGTGAGAGAAATTCTTTGGGTTGGATCTTAAGTTTTAAGTTTAAACATGTAACGTAGCTAAATTGTACATTTTGCCTAGCTGCCTGACAGCACCTACCTGTGGAGAACGGCATAAACGCCTCCGGGACCTTGACCCTCCCGCTGCCGTCCAGGAACCTGCCGGGGTCGAACGTGTCCGGGTGGGGCCAGTAGGCGGGGTCCATGTGGACGGACCACAGGTTCACCCACACCTGGGTGTGCGCGGGGATGTCGTACCCCTGCAGGCTGGTCGGGGACGAGGTGCAGTGGGGCACGGACAGGGGAACCGTGGTGCGGATGCGCTGGCTCTCCAGGATGGTCGCTTCTGTGTAGGGCAGCTCCTCGCGTCTGGAGTACGCCGGGATTTCGTCGCTTCCGACCACGGCATCCAGCTCGTCTTGGACTTTCCGCTGCCAGGCTGGGTTCAGCGCAAGGTACAGCAGTGCCCAGCCGAGGGTCGTCGCCGTCGTTTCCGTACCTGCGTCGAAGAGCTCCTTCGTAATGTGAGGTATGGTCACCTCCGTCACAGACGTTTCCCTCCACTCTTCTGCTCGATCTCCAGCAGGCACATGTCGATGAGATCGCGTATGTTTGTTGGGTCGAAGGTCTCCTTGTGTTCAGCAACAAATTTGCCAAACCACTGATGCGACTTGTGGTAGATTTTCTCCCATTCCTTTAACATGCCGCGAAAGCCGGGGACGTGCCTCAACGCTGGGTAAAAATTTAGCGGCTGGGCGTCTAAGAATAGCTGGAAGGTGCGATCGACTCTCTCAATCTCCTCTTTGAAATTTGGGTCGTCGGGTTCGAACCGCCTGCCGAGCACGATAGAGGCGATGACGTTACAAACAGCAGTCTGGATGAAGCGACTGACTTGGAAAGGTCTCCCCTCCTGGTCCTAAACGTGGTACATAATGATAGTTAACACCTGACAAAAGCAATAAGCTGTCAAGCTCCTTGACAATTAAGATGCAATGTTCGTATACATGCGGTGATCTCAAATCACTTTTATGACCACTAAGCTTAGCAGGGGAAAAGTGGGGTGTTTGAAGCGCTTTCGTCAATGTCATTTCGTGCATAAAGAATAACTGAGCTGCTAACCTCATATGTACACTTAAAGGTGAAAGAAAGAAAATAAGAAAAACTTTCACAAGAGATTGAGAAGGAAAAACTGTAACATGCACATGAACAAAAATATCTAGACCATTGCAAAAAAGCAATATTTGCGTTGTATGCCCACCTTAAAACATGAAACAAGTACCCTACATTCACGTCGGATGATTGGTTGCATTTTCTCCTTGCCAACACCGAAGTGACGAAGAGCAGACAGACCAAAGCGCCGTAAATACTTCCATTTCTTGCCGTATTTTCCTAAGGTCACGCCTGCAGTAGACACAGTGTGGGTTAGTTCATGTTTATTGGATGCTGACTTTTTCGACATCCACCTGACAGATAGCAGAAAACTACGCGTAGGCCAATGTTGGAAAACAGTCCGACAGGGACGTCCTCTAAACTTGACCAACTTCTGTGGTTGCTGGTCGCCATATATGCAACAGAGTGTGTTTACCGGTAGCTCCCACGACGTGAAAGTAAAATTTTCCTTATGCTTTGCAAATGATACCTTTCTAGTTTTTGTTAAACCCTAGTAGCCTGATCAGCAAAACATTTACCTTCTTCCCTACAGTCGAAGGAATCGGTGATGAACAGAGCGGGTCTGTCCGAGATGTGGGCCCCCTTCATGACCAGGGCCTCCCTGACGGCGGCGCACCCGTTCACAACCACCACGTCCTGCGGACCCATCCGCAGGCTGAACACGTCTCCGTACCGGCGCCGCCACGCCGTCAGCTGTAGGTGGGGCTCCCGCGGGCTCAGGGACAGCAGGTTCCCCAGGAACGGCAGCCCGGGGGGGGCTGGGGGGGAAACTTGTCGGGACGTCTGCGGCGTCCCACCCATGTCCGGAGACAGAGTAGAGACAGGAGGAACGTACAGACCCACACAAGGCCTGTGGTCAGCTCCACGGACTCCATTGTCATCCACTACGTTTTTGTCTATCCTGTGCCTGGCATCGATAAGATCCTTTTGAATAGCGTCCAAGACTAAAGTTGAAGGCCGCTCTATTTACTTGCGCGTCGTGCGCCAAGAGGAGGACATTCTTATACCACTGCAGCGGTGGTGTCTCATCTCATGGTATTGACATAGAAGCAGTCTATTGATATTAGCTCTGACTCGATCATAGCCTTGCGAATAACAAGGTCGAAATCAACGACCAAATGACCCTTGCGTGCGTGCGCGCGCTGTGTGGCACGTACACTAGTCTAGGGCCTGCATGGGGAGGGGGCTGGGGGGTATGGTAGTGACTACGAATTACGCAGTCGATTACGAATTACGTTTAAAGTCTCAGAGCTGACTACGACTTTACGCTTTGCGGCTAATGTACTGATTACGTTGAGTTTTTGGGAGGCTGCCTACGGATTACGAAGACTAAAAAGGCCTGATTACGCCTTTACGAAAGGGCATGCAGGCCCCCATACACAAATCTTTATTGACACAACACAAGTACAGCAACTTTCATAGATGACATTTACGACATAGTCGTGCAGGGTTTAACAAAATTGACAGTGGCATGCTTCTACCAAGGAGGTTTAAACCTCAGTGCTTCTACGTCTTGCGACAGATGGCCAGTATCTTGTACGGCCCTGGCAGTAGAGTGGCTCCCATCACCCCAGACAGATCTGGCTCAGGTGCGCCCTCTGGCAGCTTGAAGGTGAACTGCTGCAGCAGGGACGTGAGGAACAGGAAAAGTTCCATCTTGGCCAGCTGCTCGCCGAGGCAAATTCTTCTCCCTGTGTAGCGAGCAAAAAAGAGCGGTAACATCTAATAATAATTACGCTGATAAAGAGAGAAGAAAAAAGAGAAGCCATTCACTCAACCGAGACGGGGGCCGACATCGTCTACAGGAGAGTGTAGACGATGTCGGCTGTGCGTCTAGGAATAGCTGAAGTAGTGTGACGTCAACACCCTTGACCCAGTGTTGACTTCTCAAAGAAGCCACGTGACTGGACCAGTCTTCTGATGAAGACCAGGGTGATAGATCGAAAGCTCTAGGTGAGAGAGAAATTCTTTGTGTTGGATCTTAAGTTTTAAGTTTAAACATGTAACGTAGCTAAATTGTACGTTTTGCCTAGCTGCCTGACAGCACCTACCTGTGGAGAAGGGCATAAACGCCTCCGGGACCTTGACCCTCCCGCTGCCGTCCAGGAACCTGCCGGGGTCGAACGTGTCCGGGTGGGGCCAGTAGGCGGGGTCCATGTGGACGGACCACAGGTTCACCCACACCTGGGTGTGCGCGGGGATGTCGTACCCCTGCAGGCTGGTCGGGGACGAGGTGCAGTGGGGCACGGACAGGGGAACCGTGGTGCGGATGCGCTGGCTCTCCAGGATGGTCGCTTCTGTGTAGGGCAGCTCCTCGCGTCTGGAGTACGCCGGGATTTCGTCGCTTCCGACCACGGCATCCAGCTCTTCTTGGACTTTCCGCTGCCAGGCTGGGTTCAGCGCGAGGTACAGCAGTGCCCAGCCGAGGGTCGTCGTCGTCGTTTCCGTGCCTGCGTCGAAGACTCCGACGCAAT